AATCCACATGAGAAGATGTGGTCTTGCCACTCGGCTCTGTTCTATACCTGCCTCTAAGGAAACAGCCCACAGCTCCAGGTACTGCTCTTGCAGTAGGGGCCTCCTCTCCCCAAAACAGGAGAGCTTTTCAGGCTTTCTTTGGGCTTCTCTGCCATTCATTCTCACCTCCAGAAGAGGAGCTGGGTCCCATGCCTGGAAAAGCCCCCAGCTAATAGATGACAACCATAGTGATGTAAACCTCAGGCCTCAAAAGTTCACAAAATCCTGCAGCTCTTGGCCAGGTACATGACCTGGCACTGGGTATTCTTGCCTGAGACCACAAAGGAGGTGACAAGAGGCTGATTTCCAAAATATCTCACGCCAAAGATACTCTGCTGTGCAATGACACCCTTCCATGCAAAGACACAGTCCTTCCAGGGCTTTGGGCTGCTCCACTTGTCCAAGTGCTCCACACATTGCAGCTCAGCTCAGCCCACTCCCCAGCAGCACAGGTGGGCTCCCAACACCTGCACAACCCAACCTCATAGTGTGGAGAGCATGGTCAAACCTCCCCTCCATCGTCCAGGGACTTTGTAAGGAGCAGATTTGCAGGAACCTACCCAGTAATTTTTACACAAACCTGCTTCTACTGCTCCTTCCGACTCAGGTTTTAAGGCGGAAATGACTGAGACAGAACCTGCCCCTTGTCTTGGCAACTTGTTTTAGCAGCTAATCACTCTTGCCTTTAGTTTCTAATTCACCATAAATTCTGATTTGAATTATTTACCAGGCACTGGTTCTAGCTCTGCCTGTCACTGCTGCATTCAAGAACTCCTTCCTGCATGATGCACTGTATCAGCAGGAATTCACGGATCATTTTTCCTTTGAGGTGATTGGAGATTCAATCGTGGTATCTGCTGACAAATGTAAGATACCAATAGCAATGAAGATGTGACAGTACTGGCATCAGAAGGGGTGGGACAAACCTGACAGGAAAACCTGGGTGATATTCAACCAGTACACCCCCAGTACTGAGGGTATCCTACCCCGATTCACAGGATAGAACTCCACACTGATGTTCACATCCATACCCTGAATTCACATAATGAATGAGACCATCCAGGCATGCATTAAAAGGCATTCAGATCATACACATCTGGATGTTTTAGATCACACACATCCAGACCACTCCAAATGCCTGGCCAGTCCCAGTGTTTGAGTCACAGCAGGCTGCTGTGCTCAGCTGAGGAGAGCTCATGCTCCAGGTAACCATCTCAGCGCTTTTATCTGCCACCCTTGAAGCAACAGGGAAAACAACACCACCAGCAAACCGTGTTTTAAACAATCTCTGGCACTTGCCAGAGAGAGAGAGAACTGAGAACACTCCTTAACTGCAAAACTGGTAGCTCAAAAAAATGCTGTCCTCCACAGAACTGTACCCATAAGGTGAGCAAATGGCAGGCACTGCACCCCCAGGTTCAATAATGCCAGAAGCAGGCACACAGCAGCACTGCTTCCCAGGGCACTGAGCACTTTGCTACATAAGAAGATGGACAATCTCAGGAGCAGATGCACCTGTGATGAGGGAAAATAGGCCTAGACACAGTGATACTGAGTCCAAGAAACAGACTATGTTTTTATGTTTTTATTCCCTCCTCACTCGTCATAAATCTCACCAGGAGCCTGCAGGTGTTCAGAACTAAAGCTGCCAGCCACCAAGGAGACAGAAAACAACATACAAAATAAGATCAGTATCACCTTGTTGCAGAAAGGCAAAAGCTTCCTGGCCAGGGATGCATTTTCCTCTCTGCTAGCTCAGTTTGCAGCCCTGCATCCCTCTTGGATCACAAAGCAGGACATCACACCACCCCCAGCCAGCACTGAGAGGTCAGGGTGTCGTGCCCACCATCCCAGCATCTCCATCCCAGCAGTGATGCACTGAGAGCAGCACAGAGACTCCAATGAGGCTCTGATGAACCTATTTGCACTGCTGAACTGCTTGGCACACAGCTGCAGTGCACTGCACCACAAGTTCCTGACACCAGACTTTGCTAAATTCATCTGCTGGGAGCAAAAGACAAACCCCCAGTAATCCAGCAAGCAGCAGAAATGCCTCCCATGCCACAGAAAAAAACACGATTTTCCCATGGTTTGCCAGCACTACTGTCTGCATAGACTAATGGGGAAAAAATATTATTTAAGCTGTCACACTTGTAAGCACGACCTTGCAATTCTGAGTAGAGCTGCACCAGCATAATTACTGAAAAAGCGTGTAGAAAGAGGCCTGTAGAAAATGTGATACTGCAAATAATGCACTGAACACATTCAGCTGAAGGTGCTAAACGAACACAAGATGCACCAATACCCTGAAAGCACAGATACACTTTTCCTCCCTCTAGCCTTGCTCCACATCAGCTTCCCCTGACAGCAATTTCTCATACAAAAACAGTGAATGAAATATATACAGCCAGGAAGCATAGGCTGCCTTTGTAAAGCATTCTGATTAAAAACAGGAAGATATGGTTCAAATCTTTCAAAGAGTTAAGCATAAGATCCAATCTTAGAACACGAAAGTCCTTAATGAAGCAAAAAGCTGGGCTCTGGCTGTGCAGGGGCACAGAGAGGAGAGCACACCATAACACAGAGCCACAGAACTGTGCTGCCATCCGGACACACAACTCACCATCACCTCTGAAATCCATCAGCTCTAGCCAAAGGTACATTCCAAGTGTGCACTTTCACCAGGGAAGCCAATATTCCAATTTACAAACTACCTAAACACACAATTCCTCTCTGCAGCAGACAGGCCCTTCGATGGAGGCAGGCCTGAGCCTTTCCTTATTCCTGCGCTTGCAGACGGCTCTGACACCGCCGGACATCAGCGAGCCGAGGCAAACGATGCCAGATCCTCCCAGCCGAGCGCAGGCAGGGGCTGGCACTGCTCCTGCTGCCCCTGTGCACACAGCCCCTCTCCCAAGGATGCGAGACACTCATGTACATTTCACTGCAAACAGGCACAGAGGCGTTCCCACTGCCTGACAAACTCCACCTGTACCACTAATTACCTTAATGTAACTTCAAATGCACAGAGGCACAGTCAGACCAATCAGAATTACAACAATCCTAAGGTAGCTGTAAGCCATACTCCTGACTTAACGCTATGAGACGGAAGAGAGAGAGGGAAAGAATAAAGTTAGAGGTGCATTCCTAAAATTATGCTTAGTGAATATAAAATGACTTGAACCCCTGAGGCTGCAAGCTGGCATTTATTGAGATATGCAGCCCCTAGCACAAAAGAGCATCTTACTGCCCCATGTGCTTGGAAAACACATATTTGTTAAATAATTTTAAAAACCATATTTGAAAGAAAACTGGATGTTTATGACACTGTATGCTTATTTATTAGTGATGTCCACACTTCAGAGCTGCATTTTTTAATATACTCCTAATTTGCAACGATGTATTTAAGTACTCTTAAAATAATCCACAGTAGTGGACTGCAGTCGGTGCAAACTGGCATTAGTGAGATTGCATTTTTGCTCTCGTGAAGAAATAAACACTCTCATCTCATGCAGCTGTAACATGTATGTAACATAATTGTATTCGTTGCATTTAGCAATGGCTAACATATTCTAACACACCCTCAGAAAAGCTCTTTTGTTCCAAATCAATGACTTAAATAACACAATTTTTTCAACATATTGATAAAGAGGAACTAGCGTAGGGCTCATGACTCACTGCATCTGACCAGATATGTGGCCAGGACAACATGTCTAAACTTGCCAACAAGGATGGGATTAAAAAGATCTCACTGAAGGCCTGCAGCACCGCTCAGATTCAATTCTCGGTTCTGCTGGGAATTCTCTGCACGATATTTTAAGATGCAGCAACCAACAGTTTAATAGACTGACATCCAAGTCTGAAAGCACCCATCCTCTCAATGGAAACACATCAGTATTATTAAGGCATAAAAATAAAATGAGGCCTATTAAAGTACTCCAAAGCCCCAAACAACTTTTTGATGAAAAGACGGTCTAAAAAATCATTTGTAGAAACGGTCCGTGGAACATGCAAAGAATCTTCTCGGTCCATTCCTCTGGCCCTGCTGATACCCAGCTCTGGACCAGGCCGAGCACACCAGGCCGAGAGCTGCGGGTAAAGCTGAACTGACCCCACACGCCGAGGCAGCAGCAGGCAGAGAGGGCAGAGCAGCAGGGCAGGGAGCAGGGCAGGCAGAGAGGGCAGAATAGCAGGGCAGGCAGCAGGGCAGGCAGACAGGGCAGAGCAGCAGGGCAGGGAGCAGGACAGGCAGAGAGGGCAGGCAGAGAGCAGGACAGGCTGCAGGACAGGCAGAGATGGCAGGGAGCAGGGCAGCTGCAGGGCAGGGAGCAGGGCAGGCAGAGAGGGCAGGCAGGAGGGCCGGCTGCAGGACAGGCTGCAGGGCAGGCTGCAGGCCGGCTCCGCGCCCCGGCCTGCGCACTGCGAGCATTTTCCGCGCACTTACAGAGGGCTCATCCGGCCCCCCTGTCACCTCCCTGCCCCGGGGGTCTCCCCACACCGCGGAACGCACCCATTTCCTCGTCCCCGCTCCCTCCCCGGGTCCGGCAGCCGGGGTGGGGGAGCTGCGGGGGATGGGCGCATCGCTGCGGGTCACTCCGAGCCGCGCCGACCCCATCGCGGCCGTGTTTGCTGTCGGACGCTGCCCCGGCCCCGTCTCCTCCCCATCCGCACGGGTCGCGGCGTGCAGTTGGTATTTTTAGGCCACGGGCGACCCAGCGCTTTAACAAAGATAAATAAATAACACGAAAGGCAACCTCCCCTCCCCCATCCGCGCTGCCCCCGCGCCAGGGCTCCGAACCGCGCCGCGACCCGCACGCCCCGCCAGGACTCGGATAACAACGCGGGGATGGGGGGGGAAGGGAGGGGGGGGGGTCTGGGCAAAGTAAAGGCAAAAGCAGAATAAACAAATAAATACCCCCTGTCCCCGCGCCCCGCCGCCTCGCTGCGGCCCCGGTACTCACCGTGGCCCCGCTGCGGGCAGGGGTCGGGGCCGGGCCGGGCCGGGCCGGGCGGAGCGGCGGGCGCTGAGCGGAGCGGGCCCCGCTGCCCATGTGCTCGCCCGAGCACGCGCTCGCCTCAATGGAACGTTGTGCTGGCGAGCGGCTCTGTGACGTCACCGCCCCCCGCCGCCCGCGGCCGCAGCCCGGGGCAGCGACAGCGGCGAGAGAGCGGCGGGAGCGGCGGGAGCGGCGGGAGCAGCGAGGGCATCCACCGCATCCCACCGCATCCCACCGCATTCCAACACATCCCACCGCATCCCAACGCATCCCAGCGTCCGCATCCACCGCCACCCTGCCCTCCTGCCAGCATCCACCGCATCCCAACACATCCCAGCGTCCCGCATCCACCGCATCCCAGCGCCCCGCATCCACTGCCAGCCCTGCGCTCCTGCCCTGCATCCCACCGCATCCCAGCGCCCCGCATCCCACTGGCCCGCATTCACCGCCAGCTCCGCACTACTGCCCCGCATCCCACCGCTCCGCATCCCACCAGCGGCACCGTCCGCATCGCACCGCCGGCACCGCACAGAGCAGCGCTGCCGGCTCCGCACCGCATGGCATCGCTCCGCACCGCATGGCATCGCTCCGTACCGCACTGCCGGCTCCCCAACGCCAGTACGGCCGAGCCTCGGCGCGCCTTGAAATTTAACTATTTAAGTAAAAGACCAGATTTTTCCGGAGGCACTCCGCGGTGCGAAGGAAGCCGGTGCGCAGCGCATAGCGTGCACAGGGAGGTTGCGGGACCCAGTCCCGCTGCCTTGGACAGGCAAGGTTACAAGGAAGAGCGGAATCAGCTTCAGCATCAGTGGATGGGCAGCACGGGAGACTTCACTGCTTATCCTTTTCATCCCAAGAGAAGTCTTTGGCCGTGTTTCTCCCAAACACTGCGAGTTTGCTTCCCATAGAATTCATTTTTTTTTCTTTTCAATACCATTCTCCCAAGTGATGACATATCATGTCTGTCTCCAAATTATCACAGGAGAGAAGCATACAAGTATTCCACATACAAATGTAGAAAGTAGCTTTGTAGCCTTCCAAGAACTCTGAGAGAACATTGAGAATACAGAACAGGCTGCAGACTGTTGAAACAGGAAAAGAGCAAATCTCCAATATATGGATGGAACAAGATTTATTTGAATTTTTTGTTACTTTTTTTTTTTTTTTACAAATTAAGAAAAAAATGAAATGTATCCCCTTGATTCCAATCTGGACCCAAAAATTAAATAGAAACTGCAATGCCATGTGAGATTTTTCTCCATACTGCTATTGCTCTCTCCAGGAGGGAACCTAGAATCCTGCTGTGCCAGCACCTTTGCAGCCAGCTGGGAGCTGCAGTGTCATTTCGGCAGTGTGTTCAACCTGAGAGGGTGCTGGCATCTGTGTGGGCTGTGGTGCCCAGCCTGGGAGCTGCCACTGCCACACCAGGCTGATCAGCCTCTGCACAGAGCCTGTCTCTGTCTGCCCAGCATAGTGACATCCCCATGTGGGTAACACATGCTGCTCCATTCAACTACTAAATATGTTCCCAGCTCCCCTACATTGCTTTGACTATTTCAAGAAAGAGCTGATCTGCAAAAACTACCCTGTCACAGGAGAAGCAAGTGCTTGTGCAAAAGGCACAAAATTAGGGTATAAATCCAAGCTGCAACTTTGTGGTCCTGCAATTTAACAAGATACAACATTGGGCTGAAAAAAGAGGCTTTCCATGCTCATGGTAAGAGGGGTGGGAGCCCTGCTGAGCAGGTAGATTAAAGCTTTTATGCTGTCCCTTTCAGCAAACTGCTGCAGAGGAAGAGATGTGGAGGAGATCACTTTGGGCCATACTCCTACAACTGGCTGGAGACCAAATCTTGAATAAATGACTTCCCAAGGTCAGCGAACTCAAGAGAAAGATCAAAATCTAAGATTACTCATGAGACCAAAGGTTCATTTTATCAGCTGTAAAGGGCCAGGTGTTGGAGCACCCTGACACATTTTATTGTGGAGCACACTGACACAATTTTTTCTGGAGCAGTCTGACACACTTTTTTCTCCAAGTCCATTCCCACTCCAGAGTTTGGGAGAAGCAATGGCATTAAACTATTATTATGCTTTCATATGTGCATTGATTGCCCTTAAATGGGGCCCTGATGGTTCCTTCACAGCTCCTGGTGGCCAGAGCAGAAGAGAAATTTGAATCAAATAGCTCTGAAAATTGAGTTTTCATTCCTCTCTCCCTAGGACTCCCTTCCTTCCTTGGCAAAACACATAGAGAATTTGCTCTTAAAACATCAGCTCAAATTAATACAGGTTTTCCTGATGCCACAGACTTGCCCAGGTATTACAAGCACCAGCAGCATGGCTGTGAACACAACTCTGAGTGCCATGAGAAGAGATAGGTACTACATGTCCAATTCCTGGCATGACAAAGCCAGGAAAATAGCATGAAGAGGGGTGAAAATGTTTGCCTGCCTGTTGACACACAGAGAAGTCAGATGATGGTGACACGAGGTTACCCAGATGTGGCTCCTCTGTGACCTGTGGCACAAGGACATGCTGTTCTCCTCCTCTGCAAGGCAGCCCTGAGGTTTGGAAGTCAGACCCCACATCTCATAAAAATTCACAGAGCACCCTTATACCTTTGCAGGGAGGCTGGCAGGGGGATGGCACTGACCACCAAGCATTTCCCCCTGTGATGGCAGAGTTGGGGCCTCAGTAACTGGGGGAGACCCACAGTTCCCATCCCGCCCAGGGTCTCTCAGTGCAGGAAAAATAAAAAGACCTTCTTTCCACAGGCATGTAGAATATGCCTTGTGCTCTTATCACTCAACCCTGCAGGCTATCTAGTGTTTGTACTATAAAAATCCTCTCGTAATGTGATCTGAATAGTCTCATATCAATAAAGCACTCAAGTGTAATCACTCTTACGACAGCTTAGCACACTTACACAAGGCAATTGCATTGCTCTAAGTTCACCTCTGCAAATTAAACAGAGCAAAGTCAAGGCCAACTGATGCAACACGCTCTTTCGAGGTCAAAAGAAGATCTGAGGCAAAGATCAGGGGTCAGGCTGCAACGAGGCTGTGGCAGCTGAAGCATTCCACCCTCCAGCACTCTGCTTCAGCTTCCCCGCCTGTGACCCCACAAGCTTTGCTGGCAGCAGGCATCACATGTGTGCTTCTTAATCTGTGCCAGTGGAGCCAAGGGAGCTGTGATGTGTCCTTTGGGGCTACTAGAGTGTGGAGGTGACAGCTCCCAGCTGGTCACCACAGGCAGCTGGAAAGTGAAGTGCCATCAGCCAGGACAGGTAGGTGCAGCAGAGGCTGGAGCAAAGCACCAGACATTCCCTGCACACATGGGCCACGGAGAGACACAGCAGAAAAAACAACTGAGTGTGTAATCATAGCAGTAATTACACCTTCCCTCATCCAGGGATTAAGCTTGTTCCAGGTTAATTCCAGAGCTCTCCAAAAAACCCTCAGTCATCTCAGACACTCAGGAGGAAAGGTTAGGTCATTGCATCTGCTCCTCTCCCAGTAGAAACCAGCATTCTGCACCAGCCTGCCTACAAAGACATTAACTTCAACATCAGTGTCTTGTCCTCACTTCACCTTCTTGGATATTATCTTGGAGCTTTTCTTCTCTGAAGATTAGAAACCACCTAATTGTCATCCTGAATGCATTTACAGCCAGTTACACCCATTTGTTCTGCAGCAGGTGTTATGACTTGATATCACCAGCTCTTGTCGTCACTCTTACACATACCTCTCTGCTATATTTACCAGTATCAAGTTCATTCTGTGAGAAAACAATGGTAAAATGCAATGGTGCTTATTGTAATTAATTTATTTTCCCAGTCTTCAATTTTAAGTACTCATATTAATTTAAAGAAAAGGCATTCCTGTACCCCAAGAGTGACCCATCTCTAGGTGATGATGACTCACCTGTGATTTCGGTGGGGAAGATCCAAGAGCCAGGAGCAGGAGGCAATAACAGAAAAAATAAAGACTGGAAAGTTTATGAAGCTGCTGGAAAGGCTTGCACTGCCTTCTGTGCCCTCTCAGTGTTCAATGTGAGAAGAAGAACAGATTCTGGATAGCTTAGATGTGACTCCAGAGCAGAGAAAGGGGATATTCAGGGTTGGTATGAAACACAGAAATAACAGACTTATCACTGATGGCCCAGCTACTAGCTACAGAAGCATGGGACTCAGATGCTTCATATATTCCCCAAGTTTGTGGCATAAAAAATAATTTTAAAAAAAAGAAGAAGAAAGAAACACGACTTTTCAAAGAGATGTCTTCCTGCATGTGCAGCAAGACTGAACTAGTAGAGAGGTACAAAAACTCCATTAGAGATTATGCAGAGCATTTAAAATTGCTATCTTGAATGTGATTTAAGAAAGAAGAAAGCCCTGGAATAAAGTGAAACCAAATGTCTGCATTACTAAAGTTGGAAAGTAGACTCAGAGATGACCACGCTTGAGTTTGGGGGAGGGAAAACCAAACTGTGAACCAAAGGTTTTACATCATTAGTAAAAAATAAAATAAATTCTGTGAACAAGAAATAAGAGGGAATTCAAGAGAGAGGGAGGCAGCACCATTCAGGTCCCAGCCAAATTTCCCAGGAAGATCCTGAGAAAGGCATTGACTAAATCCTTGGGGAGAAGGAGTTTGTTTTGTCTGAAGGGTGAAAGATCACAAGGGAAATCACATGCCTGGGAGAGGAAGTGGTAAGTGGTGCTGTCAGCAGGGATAGAAAGCCATGGACATGGAGATACCCTTGGATGAGGGATAAGGGCCTTAGGTCTGGTCACAGGGAGCCCTGAGCCCACACAGAACTGCTGTCTCAACAGCAGCAGAGGATACACAGAGCAGGTGAAATGCCACCAGTCTCCAGAGGAGAGCAGGGTGACTGCTTCTCTGTTTCTGAAGGATCCAGCTCCAGGGAAAACAGCAAGATCTCTGCTTTCCTCACACAGAGATCCTGTTGCTAAATCTCAAAGAGGAAACTGTTTAACTTGTCGGTT